CGATGAAGAGGTCACATGGAAACCGGACCGGAAACAGTACGTTAGCCTAGAGCGTGCATAACCGAGCTCTATCCACAAGGCCTATATCCACCCCTGTGACTATGGAAAAAACAAAACAAACATGGATTACTTTGGTTGCTAAGTTGATTATGCGTCAATAAGAAAAAATACTCCTGCAGTGGTCTAAAGTAAAAGCATGTTTAAAAATGAGAAGCACGATTCTATCTTCCAAGCAGTTTATAAAACAAAGCTTGAAGGCTAACTAAAGACTGCTGGGATCAAAACAAGGGGACACGAACCGGTAAATGCCTGAACTCAAGGGGAATGTTTACAGGCATTATCTGGGAAGAAAGAACGTTCTACCCTTGATTACTTTGTTATACTAACCATTCGTATTTGTAGGCAGATTATGGTGAAATATTTTCGCATAATTATCTGTTTCTGCAAAGTAATCGGGAGAATCATACAGTCGCGTGGCGCATTGCAGATCGGCCCTGGAACGTGCATAACGAGTAGGAATATACCCATATAAGATTACTAAAATCAAAATTATTGGTTATTTGTCAATACATAATGTATATATTATAGATATCTGTGAACTCATGGTGACAAGTGGCATTTAGAAAAAAAGCTATGGAATCAACTGAGTCTATAATTTACATGTTATATTTACTACGGACTACTTTTTGTCACATTCGTGTCCATTCAGGGCAAAATAGGGAGGCACGTCGCAACATTATGGCGCGAAATACGCCTTTTCATTTTCTTTTGATTAGCCTAGGCCTGGGCTAACTGCTGTAGCCTAGTGTGTAAAGTAATTGGCCTAACGGCAATTTAGCATAAGAGGATAGAACCAGTTTGTGGCCTACCAAATGGGAAAAGAAATAAAGTTTTAAAGAAAACATGCACAGTGTATTTCATTTTTACATTAACTTAATCGCTACCTCGTAATGTATTAGTATTAGCAGGAGTTGATAATTATTTCTTCTTCTTCTTCTTCTTCTTCTTCTTCTTCTTCTTCTTCTTCTTCTTCTTCGTTCCCGTGCTAAATCTCAGGGGTATACAATGAAGTCTACTGCTGGTTTTTCAACCTGCAGTGCAACTGTTTTTTGTGGCCGTTTTTCCTACTTTGTTGTAGGGTCTCTTGCTTCAGGCAACCACATTCTGATTTCGAAGGTAACCGTACTCGGTACGCCTTGTTAGCCTAGTCTGGACGAATAGAAGTACAATAGGGGGTGGAAAATAAGAATAAAATAATTTAAACTGGGAAACAATAAAAGAACGAACAATAAATGTATCTCCAGGAGGAAGGCGAGGCTTCAGTGCAGATTGCACACTACGACCCCCCCCCCCCCCCTTTTACACACACACACACACACTTTTTGTCAAATGTCAGACATGGGCGCGGTGTTGTTGCACAGGGGACAGTTTTAGTTAGAGTTTTACGGCACTTGCAACACGATAAGGAAGGTCATATAAGTGCCGAAGATTAGAGGAGTTACAAGAGAGTACAATGTAAAAAACACCAAAAATAAGGAGGGAAGATAAAGACGATAGATGTTTGATAGGAAAGAAAAAGCCAACCGCACCCGAGCATCCACCAACCAGGGGACAGGGGTTCAAAACTTGGCTCCCAGTGTAATCGGGAGACCTAGGTTCAAACAAACACAGGCGACTAGTCGGGCGTTCGGTTGGCGCGATCCCCCAATGGGCTCTCCGACCAGGGCTGGCTCCTGGTATGTAGGACTAGGAGTAGTACTGACCAGCTGTTATTTATGTCGATACCCCCACCCCCAGCCGAACCCCCTACTACAGAGAGATAGAGAGGGGTGGGGCGGATGGAGAGGATATACTGTCTATTTTAAACCTACACCCTCAGATGTGTGTGTATCTCTCTCTCTCTCTCTCTCTCTCTCTCTCTGTGTGTGTGTGTGTGTGTGTGTGTGCCTGTGCCTTCAAGCTCTTATCGACACTACTTAGACCATTTTTAGGTGGGCTACTTCTACCCTGACTGCCACGGCCTTCTCGGGCTCATTGGGATACAACATCCTAGCCAGACAGAGTTACTCAATACATTTTAAAATTAAAATAACTCCTCCGCTCGAGAATTGAACCCTCGTCTTTTTTATGCAACGGCAATGCATCTATCTATTAGTCACACTAGACGCCGGTTTGGTGACTTTAATTACACAAAGCTACGATCAGGTTCGTAAGACAGTAAGCAGAATAAAAGTTCACAAAAGAAATAATGCGTTTTATTTTCAACGCATTAATCCCAGAATGATCTGATAAAACGCGATTATTTTCTGCATATCGTTAACCATTCTTGAACCTACGGCCCGAAAGGCGAAGTTTTGACCTGCCACCTCCTTCACTTCTCATCTTTTTCGATCGTCAGACATTATATGGGGCTTTTCTTGCAATAGAACACCCCGCAACTGCCACGCAGATAAGCCTAAGTCCAGAACACCAGGCCTAATTTATGCCCCAGGAAGGTACAATCAGAGAGTTTTACAGAAATCAAGGAGCTTAAAACTGTAACCTCCTTGACAGTAATACAAGAGAGCTGTCTTTTTACCCTGATGCGCGTGATCAGCTTGGCGGCTTGCTCGTTTATCCAATCACTGTTGTCACCGCTTACAACTATAGTAACCTAACAGCCAATCAAATGTCTTTTGGGCTCAGCAAAGGATGAGCCCATTCCCACGCTCCTTCCGTAATGATACTCTTCTTGAAAAAAGGTAGCCTAGAAGACCAGAAAAAAATAACACTGTACTGAGACACTTTCCCCCCAGTGACGCTGATACCTACGCGTGCTCATTGGACCTTTGTTAGGTGCGTTCACAGAATTCTACACTAAGTGTTCTAAACGTTCTATTTTCCGCGACAACACGGCCTAATCTAGTTCATAAACGGAATATGTTTGAAGTGCTGTGTGTGCATGTTGTGTTTGTGCAGCTGAGATTTAAAGTTATAAATCACGTCGATTTCACTTTTAAGGCAACTTTTTCATCCAGAAGAATCTAACTCAGAACAAAGAGATGGATGACAAAGGTGACTCCACACGTTTGAATGGTTCCCAAAATGCCGTGACTCACCGTGACTATAGAGAAATCAGTACTGCGTAGGTCCTATTGCTTACTATTTTGTGGTAAAGAAGTGGAAGCAACCGAAGCCCCACCCAAACTTTGGTCCACCCACCGCCACTGCTAAAATATGCGATAGAATTCATAGAACCCCCTTCGTTGTTAAAGGCCTAGCAACCTAGTGATCCACAGAAATTAATGTAAAAATGAAATACACTGTACTGATTGCAACAC